TTCTGTAGTCTATTTTAGTAGGGGAACCGAATCTCCCAACCAAAAAAGAAACGGTGAGAGTTCGGCACCTGGCTTCCCTCCCAGGCCCCTTTGGGCCCAGGTCGACTGAGCGGCCGAGGCCTCGACGTTCGCCCATCGGGCCAAGTGTAGCCGCCACAGCCATGGATCACGGCCTCTCGCCACATGCCTTGGAACCTGGGCCAAACATCGATCCGGTGCCCTCCTGCAACCTGAAATCGTCATTTCCCCAAGTAGGAAAAATCGAACATGTTTTAGGGCTATTTGGAGGGGATCCCACCAAAAGGGAAGCAGGGTGCCAATGAAGAACAAAATGGGAAAGGGTTAAACGAGTGCGACAAGAAGCGCGCAACAAGATCCAAATTCGGGGCATCTAAACTGTTGTGTAGAGAGCTGGGTTGGATGCTTCATCCGGCGGGGGCTCGTGTGGGTTGCCGCCGGGAGTACATGAGTACATATCAATTGGGCCGAGGATCCAAGCACACGTCAGGATTTCGTGACAAGAGCAAACTACAAGCCTCTCCCTGAGCATCTCCCGACCACTGCCACTTGGTGACAACATCAACGTGACCTTTCAAAGCTGGCACATCGCACTGGAACGGGGTAGGTGCTCAATGTTCGGCAGTCCCCTATATCGCAGCTGATCACAAATTCTGAACTTCCTTTGGAAACAACCCCACTTCCATCCGCATAGAGTAGCTGCTTAGCTTCACTGACTTTGGCCAGCGAGGTGAGCTTCTGAATTCGTTTGACACAAAACAAGCCGCAGGTCCACAGGAGACTCTCACGTCCTTCGCTTCAACAGATTTGTGCAGCCCTTCAGTCAACCCCCCCGCTCGCCACCCTGAAGGTGGGAAGGCTTGAGGCCGATGCTCTCTGCCGTCCTGGAGGAAGCCGGCTGGCTGCGAATCAGGTCTCAAACCGTGGGTGGCGCCATTCCCGTTTCACCCTAGAAACTGCCAGGCATCACAGGGTCAAATTTTAGAGATACCACACTGACCAGTATCTCATTTCTTGGTGACCCATACTGTGGATGCACGAACTGCTGCACCTAACAAACCCTGCAATGATTCGATTCCCCAAGGTCAATACCAACAAGCCTTCTACGGCCATGAGTCAAAAGCCCGTACCCCCAGTGAACATCCCAATCCCCACTAAACTAGGTTCTAAAATGGGTGGTGAATTCACCTACCAACCAAAATGGCACCATTGACAACCACAGCCATATGGTTGCAACACCATGCTTTCATTTCGTGGGTGCGGCCTCCACTGCCCGTGGCTCGTATCGATCGTCTCTCGTGGCAGTGAGGCCCTCCTTGCCCATGTAGTGACCGTAGCCGTTGATGGCGTTGGACTCCCACTGGCCCAGGTACCTCACAAGGGACGTGGGTTTTCGCAAAAACCCGACATCGGTACCAAGTTGCCACACCCGGAAAAAAGGCAGTCCTGCAAAGGGTGCTGCTTTTGGGTGCCATTAGAAAAAAACACTAAGAAAAAAAAAGAAAAAAAAACATCAGGGCACTCTGGCAACTGAATCTATCTGGGCAACTTTGTTGCCGAGTTTGGCTCCGGAGCAACAGAAGGAACCTGCCCGACTAACCAGCTCTCCAGGGAAACCGCATACTGAAGCGCGGCCAAAGTATGCACAGGGGTGCAATCCATGGGGGGGTGGGAGCACATCGGTCAGGTTGCAAGCTCAATAAGTACTGTTAGATGGCATCGGCATCTTTCAATTCCCTGTTGCGTCGAAGGCAAGATTGGGCCAACGCCCCAGTGAAAGTCACAGGTAATCGCCCGCCCAGAACCCCCTGAAGGACGATGAGGTATATAAACTCCAGACCTCGAAACTGATCCCTGGAAAGTCCCTTGACAAATGCTCCGATTTCTGGCAACTGCCTTGCTTCTTCGATGGGCAATGAGTTGGAATGACACCAGGGCCACTCTGTAATCTGTGTGAACATCTTGGATGTACACGAAGGGCCAAGCTTCCCTTTACAGGGCTGGGTTGCCCGTGGATGGCAAAGCGTTGAATTGCGCGGCGGCGCACAGGGAACCGTCTGGCCAGGAGTAAGTGCCTTGGCGTGCATGAATGTCCGCAGCGCATTTCACAAAGGTAACAACTCCTGGGCCGTCTTGTTTTGTTTGCCTGGGTCTTTAGTTGGCAAGTTTGTTGGACACAGGAAGGGGCAAACTTGGGATCATACAATGATGTGAGAAGTACAGAAGAGTTACAGAAACATCGGAGTCCCAACTTGGAATGTGTTGTGCTTCAACCGTATCGCCGCTTGCTTTTTCGTGTGCTTCTCATGGGGCATTGCGGTTACCATTCAAGCACAGCGAACCCATGACAACGCGTACAGTGTTAACTTCCCAGGGCTCAAGCGCAATGCATTATTTCTTGATAGGGTCAAGTTCGGGTCATGCCCACTGCCACCTGCGACCGTGAGGAGGCAGCTGTTTGATCCGCAGGACTGCTCATGAAGAACCGGTCGTCTCTTTTGACTTACTCAGTTCTTGAACCGAGCCCGGGTTTCGTGTCAAACGTTGGTTTCTGAACTGACTGCCTCTTCTGATTAACAAGAGTTGCTAGAAAAAACACCTGCGATGAGAGACCGGCATATTTTAACGAGTAAATGGCAACACGTGGCACCCGTTCTCTGCTTAGGACCCCGGCGACGACTAGCAAGTGGACTGGCGGACACACTGACCGGCTAATTGACTGGCTGACCAGTTCGCTGGAATTGACCCCGGATAGATAAACCGTGCCACCACTAAGGGAGGCTAGAGGATAAATCATCCCAGATCCACAATAAGTTGGATCTCCAGGTCCATCAGCGCATGAATCCTGGGTCAAAATTGTTCGGCTTGCTTTTCAAGGAGGGCCCCTTTCTGCAAACCATCCGTACCCAGTGACCCTGCCTTTTTGGGATTGATCGTTAGAAACGCCAGCAGCCCACCAAACATCGCCCCACCCTTTGCCCCGAGAGCCGCGCCGAAGCCCTGCTTCTTGCCCCAATTGAACCTCGGACGTCCGGAGATCGCGATTGACCCATCAGCGGCCGTGTTTAGCAACGATGTCAACAGCTAGGTGTTGCGAATGAGTGCTTTTGGGGCTTCATGTGCGTTTTCAGGAAAGCAAAAACAACCTGTAGAAGGACTGAGTGGAGCAGTCAAAACCATATGCCGTTGTTCCTCACAAGGGATCACAGAAGTATCCACGTATTTTCCATCTAAGTGGCTGCTGGAGTCAGCAAAAAATGAAGAGGTGTATACCCAAACAAACGAATGCGCACAACGTGGTCAGTTACTTGACCATTTTGTCCAGACTTGAACCCGCCAGCATAGTGGACAAGGTGGACTTCCGTCAAACCAAGGGGCAAACGGTGGTTTGGTTTGAGTTGGTTGTCAAACCCACTTTGCAGACATGCACTAGTCTCTCTCTCTCTCTCTCTCTCTCTCCCCCTCGCTCTCCTTCCAAAGCAACGTCTTCCATCTATTTCTCGTATTGTGTTTCTGAAGCAAGCATCGAATCACCTGTCCGAAAGACCTGGCGAGAATTCAGCTTTTGGGGTCATGACCAACTGCGGACCACAACTTGAAATCCCATTTGCTCGGTGAACCTGGTAAACAAACAAAGCACAATGGACCCCGTTTTCGGGTTCTCGGCTCCTCTCTCCGAACAAATGACTGGCCAAAACAGTTGGCTCGTTTGGGCCTTGACTAGAACCATGAAGGCGACCCACACACACACTTTGAAGTTTGCCAACTAAATAGGTCAGTCAGAGAATGTCACCTGTTTTCTACAAAGGGAGCCTTTTGGCAACCCGCTGCAATCCTTTTGCCGAATCCTTTGGGTGGGTCTTTTCTAAGCTTGGACACCCCAAAAATGGTTGTTGTTTCCTTCTGGTCGTCCTTTAAAACCCTACACAAAAAAGGTGCCAGCTCCACAAAAAGACACCCCCGCTTCCTCCGTTTGCTGAAGTCCCCTGTGAAAAAAAACAAACGACTATTCCCACTAGTGATAGATTCCCTTTAAACCCAACAAAGGAAACTGAAACCTCTTCTTGCAGCAAATGGACGTTTTTGTTTGACTGCTTCTCCCAAGCCTTTGTCCTGTGGGGCTCCGGGCTGGCCATGGTACCGAGAGCCGCCTTCCCACTCCTCCACGCCGATGCCGTGCTGAACGTCCTAGCGCACAAAGCCAACAGCTGCGGTAAAATGTGTGCTAGATAGGGAGGCCTGGCAAAAAAAATCGAAACACAGACCCTTGGTTGACGTTGGAAGGGGAGCAAACATTGATTTTTTAGCAGTTAAGTGGGGATTTCCCACTAAACCACAAGAGCAAACATGTAAAATGTATCCCAACAACAACCGTGGACCCATATCCATCTATCCTTTTAGGGAACATTGAACATGTTTTGCTCTTAGGCACCCAGTTCCGGCTGATACCCCCAGGGTTTTCACCTCCACTGGTTCTTGGGAGAAGCTAAATGTTCAGACTGTTTGTTCTGGGACTAGGTTTTGGCTTGGGATACCCTGCCCTTTTCATGGTGAAAGGGAAGGATACGCCATCCAAAACAACAATAGATAAGCGATGGCGGGTGGATGGGGAGAAGAAATGCAAAAACAAACATATCCTTTCTCCCCCTTGTGCCAGCCTGAACAAACCATTGAATTGGCTTGCATTCCATCTCCCTCTTCATCCAAGACGGACAGGTAAAGAGGATGAAGAAGACAGGATAGGGATACATGAGTGGTAGGTGAGAGCTATGAAAGGAAAGGCTCTCACACACACACTCATCCATCTCGCCAATTTGGCCCGGTTCCTTGGCAATTCTCAGACTGACACCAAAGGAAGCTGACTTTGGACTATCAAAACAACTTCACCGCAGTTTGGAAGACAACTTTTCCTGGGGAAGTTTTCTTTAGGCCTCCATGGTTGGAACAAGGGCAAGAGCCCTGTGGGACAGAAAGACTGCAGGTCATCTCACTTTTTGTTCCGCAGCTGGTTCTCTCGCTGCCTCAGCAGACGCAAGGCAAGGAAGCAAACGCAACCGGATGAAATGGTGTTGCTTACTTTCTCGGGTGCGAATTTGAGGGCCTCCAAAAAAAGATGCCTGTCCTGATCCCTTGCTGGTTTCCGTTGGGGAAATCAGATAATATGCGCTATTCAATGATTCCGCACCAAGTTGCCATATTGGTGATGAAGAAAAGGACACCCTGTTTTTGTTGGTGGCAAACGCAGGCAAACGTGTCCGAACCCACCTGTAGGTCACAAGCGGCGTGAAATCACACATTCACAGGCAAGGTTCTAAGGAATGCTGACCGAGCTATATACCAAGAACAGATATGTATACATATACATGTATACAAATATGTATTTGTTACCCTCGTTCTTGACACTTGGTTCGCTTTGGCACGTGCTTCGTCTTCAACGGAACATGGAGGATTCTATAAGCAAACAACAACTATCTGCTCTGCCTTCCGCTAACATTTGTGTCGGGACCGGGAGCAAAGGTGTGTAAAACACGAATCCCTCGGAAGGCCCGTGCGGCTACCTCTTGCCTGCGGATTCGGCAATTGATTGCAGCCCGATGTGCCAACCAAATCCTTTTCGAACACAACACTGCTCTTAAACAAAAGCGAGCATCAAGAGACAGTCCGGTGTACTGATTCCCGATGTCCCCAATGTCCAATCCCAAACCAAAAACTCAAGAACGTGCCCAGTGTACTCAACTATGACTGTAGTAAGCCACCAGGGATATCGCTCACGGATTTTTATGAAGGCGCTTGCCTGGCGAACAAAGCGCTGGCACTGAATTTCCCAAGATTCGCATGGCCAAGGCCCCGACTGCTTCCTGCGGCCGCAGGCAAATCACGGAGCACCTGAGCACAAAATCCCCAGGCTCTGGTGCTTGACTCTGTACCAAGTGGTGGATTCCTTTTGAGGTTCCTGACTTGCCCAAGAGATCTGGAAACAACAGGTTGGCCTGCACAAGTACAGAATCTCAGGAACTCAGCATTGCGTTGTCTGCAAAGGGTTCCAAACCGGCTTGGCTGCTCTTTGGTTCATTTGTTGGTCCATTTCATTTTTCGACTTGTTGGATCCAATTCGTATTTTCCCGCAAGCGAAACAAATTGACCAGGTGCAAAGCCTTGTGAGTCGCTGAATCTAGCAGCTTCGGCAAGGGGTCCCTGCGGTGCCATGACAAGCCATGGCCTGTGCGCCCATTGAAGCCGCTTCCTGAAAGACCAAGAGTCGTGTCATGCTGAACGGGGAGATATTCCATATTCCCTCACGCCCTCAATGGATTTGGACCCGCGTGGCTGCCTAACCATGACCGTGATGCTAAGCTTCCGAAACCCGGGCCATATGCCATCCACATCCCTGATTGGACCATCTGGGTGAATCTACAAGCACCCTTGGTTGGACGCTCACCTTTCAAACTACCGGCCTTCCGAGACGTAGACTCAAGGGACTTAGAAGAAAGAGATCCAGAAGTTGGGACAAAGAGAATTCATTTCTAGAACCCTTTCCCTTTTCTCATCTTAAGGGTGCAACGACCGAGCTGCCGAACGAGCTGCGGAACGAGGCACTTGGGCGAGCAACCCGGATCCAGCAGGCCCAACCTTGCCAGCGAGAAGTCTCGGGTCTCGCCCAACCCACATCGGCGCATCGGGGCATCGGGGCCCCAAACTGCCCCGGTTTTTTTCCTATGGGCTGGTCTCCCCTTAAAAAAACATAATATTATGTGTTGTGTTAATATATATATATATATATATTTACACAAAAAAAGAAACATAGGCTTCTCGCTGTAGGACACACCAAACCCAAGGCGGTAACGCCTGTGCAGGATATGTCCCGCAGGATTCAAGTTGCATTCAGTGTTTGACTTTGCAGGCTTGTGGGCTGTGCTTCACACCGTCCATCGACCCACGGGTCCCCGGCTCTCCTTTGTACCTCGCAGAGATCAAAAGGCCAATGGCAAAACTGCTCGGGCGGAAAGCTTGATTCCCTGAACTTTGAGGGTAAACCAGCCAATGATGCTGGCCTATCTCTTTCCTGATACAAGCTTGGCATGTCCGAATTTCTCAATCGCCCAGCCAGGACTTTTCAAATGTGAATCAACATGTCCGGCCTTGACGCCACACGCAAGCTCACCAAAAGCGTCTCTGACCTTGCTTTCAAAACTCCAAACAAGTCCAATTTCATATCTGTTGAAGAGAGCTAGGGCTGTGCATGTGTTTGTAGCCCGTTTGCTACCGTTTGTGGCACGATTCGGGAGTACGTTGTTTACACAACTTGGTGGTTCGCTGATCCCTTTTCAAAAATGACACCTTTGGTGGGATCGGGACATGTCATAATCCCTTCTAAACTCTAAAGCTGAAAAGTCGGAAGATATGGCTGGGGACCGCCGTAATACTTCGCTGTCCTGAGATCCCCTGCTAAAAATGACTAACTTTTAGTGGGTTAAATGGCCCCCCCCAAACTAAACCAACTAACAAGAACCTAAAAGTCTAAGGAACGGACGATGTGCTGGGGACCGCCAAAAAGAAAAGAGGACAACCCCCCCGGGGCACCCGGATCGCTCCTGGGCAAAGAGCAAGCGATCCGTGTCCACCACTTGCATGCAGCGCAGCGCCTCGCTTGCTGACTTGCTGATGGCGCCCATTTCTTGGGGCTGGGAGTGACGAAACAAGGAACTCCTGTTGTGGGTCATGGCTCCACAAACTTCTGTTTGTGGGTCATCGTCATGGCTCCCGCAACCAAAATGGCTTGCCCTGCTAAAGGGGGGACCATTGCGGGTGATGATAAAACAAAAAAAACTTCTTTGTGTGGGCCACGGTCATGTGTGATGGCTCCCTTACCCTCTTTTCAACAATCATGGAAGTGGACAAGAGGCTCCCCAAAGGACCCTGTCCGCTGGTTTGTTGCAAGCAACATACGGTCGTGTCCTGAATTCGGGAATTCCACAAAATGAACTGTTTTCTGTTGGCTTCCCTTAACAACTATATTAATATTGCGTCCAAAAGAAAATCCCGAAAACTCGCAGGCTCCCGCCACATCGAAGCATCTATTCAAATCACTGGGGTAGTATTTATCTCTGGATCGATGTGGAATTGTGAGGGCGTCACCCGCAACTCTTAACTGAGTGACATGTTGGTTCCAGGTGCTAGAAACGGGGACAACAGGTAGAACACGCAAGTCGTTCTCAGATCCACTGCGTTCTCAAATGTTCTGCTGTCAACAACAGCATATCAGCCTTGAGCTGGTGAATATGCAAGGCGCAGCCAAAGTACCAACTGAACCTCTATAGATTGACACCCTCCGGTCCATTTCAGATAAAAACCCTCTGGCATTTTCCCTCAACCTGATAAGTGGTTCATCCTTCTCCCGCGGTCAACATCCTCCCCAATGCCTCAGTCCCGGTTCCGGCCGAGGCGCCGTTTGAAAGCCAGGGCTTTCAGCATCAAAGGCGCCGCCCTGAGGAGTTCGATTCTGGGACTTCTTTTTTTTGCTTGATGTTCAAAGGCGAACAGCCTTTAAGGTTAAAAGGAACACGAACCATGGGTCTCCTATCTGAAACACCAGGCAGGGGTTCTTAATTCTGAAAGACATCCATGGTCACTTTCCTTGGGGGCCCTTTATTTCTCCAAGCGGATGTGTTTGTTTAAGGAAAGCGCACCCTCACAGGCTCATCTGCTTGCGTCGAACGGCCTCCAAATTTGTTTGTAGTCGTGTTATTTTTCAAACATCCACCTTCACTACTGCGGCCTCAAAACGCACGATTTAGAGTGAAGCCGGCTAACCTCTGGAAATCTCGAGGAGTGATCAAGCAACTATATTATATCTAAACACACTGTCCACATATATATATATATACATACATATATATATATATATATGCATGTTTGCATATATGTATATATATATATCTATACATATATATATATACACATGGTACTGTACGCCCTCCCTGGTGCCTAGGTTTCTCTGTATTTTACCCACCTTGTTCAGGACTTGTTGATTCTTTTTGGCCAAACATGGGCACCAAGGAAGGCGGGTGTGTCATAATTCTACATACTGGTATTTGTTTGGCCAAACATGGGCAGCAAGGAACGGGGGTGTGCCATAATAGCCGTTATTAAGGAATCTAGATCCAGGATCCAAGCACCAAGAGTGCTGGGGGACTTTCAATGTGAATATCATGTTTTGCTGTTGCCAGGCGTTCTTAAAAAAGGTTTGAAACAATAATATGGAGTTCAAGATTCAAGATCCAATATTTTCTGGAATTCTTGAATCTTCAATCAACACAGACATGTTGTGATCCAAACGCACTAAAACACCTCAGTACCAGTTTAAGGAATCTGGTGGATCTTGAATCTTGGATCCAGGTTCTTCAATACCGGGTATTTGGGAATCTGCATGACAGCACCCAGAAAATGGTATACCGGTATCAATGCATGGATCCCAGATTCCCTCAAACTAAAACGTCTTCCGGCAATCTTGGATCTTGGATCTCGGATCCAGATTCCTTAATACCGGCTATTCAGGAACCTACATGACAGCACTAAACCTTAATACCGGTATTCAGAATTCAGGGAGCTTCATGGATCCACCCTCGCAAGTCCTCCGGCCATCTTGGATCTTGGACCCAGATTCCTTCATGCACATTCGCAAGCGAGATCGAAGCCCTCCCAAAGAAGAGTGACCCCCGACCCCAATCCATGTTCTTCTTGAGTGAAACACTGTCTCTCACGGCATTTGGTGAGAGACACAATACCAGGTATCAAGAAATCTCAGTACAGTACTAAGACGCCTTTATACCGCTTGCAGCAATCTTGAATGTTGGGTCTTGCATCCAGATTGCTTAAAACCGATATCAAGAAACCTGAATACCAGTACTAAGAAATCTGAATACCGGTGCTTATAAGGGGGAGACATTCAAATAGAAGCTGTCCCCCAAAAGTCCCGCAGTTCAGCGTGTTGGATCTAAATACTGTCTTGAGTTGAGACCCAGCAGTGATAATTTATTGGCAAGATGCGTGTTTTTCTCTTTTGGTTCCAGCAATGTTCGCATTTCCTTTGTTAATCCCGTTTCTGTACCTTCCCGAGGGTCCGGCGAGTTTACATCTTACTTGGAACGCTTGTTTTCTCGTGTTGTGATAGTGGAATTCCGTTCCGTCCAAAACTGAAGTAAAATGGCTTTTTACGCTACTATTGCCTTAAACTGAGATACAATTGAACCAAATATGGCACCACGGGGGGGTGTATCATGTATATACATATATACATATACAATGATACATGTGTATAATATGTGTGTGTATCATATATATATATATATGTATGTACATGTATCGAGTCTGCACATATTTCATATTCTTCATCGCCGCCGCCGACTCGCCGGCCTTGCCAGGCGTGAAGTCCGCCGCCTTGGCGCACCAGGCGAAGGACACCTCCGCCATGGCCTCGCGCTGCGTCCGCCGCCGACTATGGAATGACTTCATAAGCCATCCAACTGGTGGTTTTTGTAGTTGGAATGACCGCTGTTGTACATTTGCAGCTCTAACGGGACATTTCTGTGAAATGCGACGATGGTGCTTCGGGGCATCTGCCTGATGCACACTAGGTTGATATTCCTCGGAAATTGTGAAGTAATTATCAACTTGCAAACAAATTCGCAATATCACGCACTTTTATCTGTATCACCGGTCATACTACAAACCAACACAGTGTGCGGGGTTTTGTCAAAGTTACCTTGTCAACAGGCATGCCCTAGCAACCGGTCCAAAAACGTCTTCAGCATAGCTGAAACTACAATTTGGGAACATGAGTCAACTGGAACAGTTTGGACATGGAAAAAAGGATGTCATGTAACAATGTACCTCATCTCCAAGAAAGCAACGCCATTCGCACAAGATGGGGCTGCTTGACGATTGAAGCATTTCTTTTTTTGCCCCGTAGCACCGAAGTGCACGGTTTCTGACTTCGGCTTACCTCCAATTGGCGGTTTGGTGGTTAAGGAGGCTTCCCATCCATCCACAGCCAGGGCTGATGGGAGCCAGGGGTTCAACAAACCAAATCCAAATCCAATCCAAACCAATCCAAGGGCTTAACTGGATGGCACCCGCAGGCCATGGGGATTTTTGGACCCAAGCGTGCCAATCGCTCCTGGCTGCAGGGATGCATATGCAGCTCGGTGCCCTGGCCGCGGTGGTGGTTCTCCTTGCTGGACACCTCCGGCATCGCCCCATCGAGTCTCCCGCGTCCCGCTTCGAGTCGGTGGCATTGATAGGTGGGGACTCTGGGAATTCACCTGGGGATTCCCTTAAAGGAAGTTATACAGGATGGGATTCCCTTAACGGAACCAGAGGGGGTGGTTTAGAGGGGAAATTCCCTAGAAGGAAACCAAATCGGGGACGGTTTACAGGCCGCGCTTGATCAGATTGGACATTCACTGCGCCCGTCAAAGAGCACACACACAACGATGTAATCCACTGATTTAATTCAGCTGCCGAGTTGAGGCAGCCTTAACGACCAACGTTGGCCAACAAAAACAAGTGTTCAACTTTGCCAACCGAGGAGGCAGGTCCAAAAAAAGTGCGAAACACATACTTACCAACTGAGGCAGTGGTCAACTGCATTTCTATTGCAACTCCCCTCTTCTAGGTCCTCCAGTAAAGAGGTTAGAATATGGGTACCCTTTTCTCTGTAGTCTATTCTAGTAGGGGACTATCCCCAAAGAAAAGAAACGGTACAAGGGCACCAATCGCTGGGGGACCTAGCCTTCTCGCAGATTGCCCCCCGCCCTCCGCCTGGCCGTAGCAGCAGGGCACCAGGCAGACCGCGGCCTGGCGGCTCTGCGCCAGGCGCAAGACGGCGTCCGCCAGCAAGCCGCAGGTGTGGAGCCCCAGCGCCAGCCCGAAGTCCTCGTCGGCGCTCGTCACGTCGACGCTCGACGTGCGGCGGACTACCGCGTTTCGTTTTCGGTGGCTGGAGCCGGCGGTTTCTGTTTGGGGTCTCGTGCCAAGGGGTGTGTTTTGTTGGTTTTGGTGGGGGCTGGTGCTTTGAAGGGGTGCACCAAAAAGGAAAACCGGTTGGCCATTTTGGGGGAAACATGAACAAGGGCTGGTTGTTGAAAAGCTCGATGGTTGAAAAGAATTGGAACTGCGAATACTAGGAAAATCGTCTCAAAGGGAAGAAGTTGGGTGTCTATGGCAAACTCTGCCCAGTCAGGAAATTCAACTATCACTACGAAATTATTTTTGTCTCGTTCTTACACTCATCTCCTATGTCTGCGGCTTAATCTGCAAGCGCACAACATTCAACTGGCCACACAGTTAATTACGGCCGAACCAAGCTCCTTGGGTTGACGGTGAAAGCTTTCAAACCTTTACCTGCAAGCGGTACGTCCTGACCGGTGCCCGCAAACTCATCCACTGTGCCCTGGAATACCCCGCAGTTGCCGATGCCAGTGTTCCTTGCAAGCAGGCTGATGCAAAGAAAGTCCTCTCCTGTTGCACGGATGGCTCCCCGAACAACCTTACTTCCTTTCTTGTTGTGCAAGGATGGGGCCATGCCCCCAAACGCCAGCCTCAAAAGACTCCAGCAACATGACAGTTGCCTACATCCTGCTTCACGAGTTGATGAGCATCTAGTGACGCGGTGCTTCAGCCAACTGGCTGAGAAGCCACTAGCAACAAGCACCCAGCCGATGGCGGAGCCTGAGCTGATGAAGAAACAGTCAAATATGTTCAACCAAGTTTGCCCCGCCTGGACACGGGAAGTGGCTTCGGAATCAACAAGCCGAATCTTTGGGCACTCAGGAGACTCCCTGTGGTTGGTCCCCAATCTCGACCAAGTTTGCTCCTGTTTGAACATTCAAGTAGTATAATTCACAAACCGGAATACAGGAAATCCCAACTTTATCTTCATGGGTGAGCTCGTTTCACCCCTAGGTGAGCTCGCTATTTGACAAAGCCATTGCAACCATTAGTCTAGAAATGGTTTGGAGGCGGCTTGTGCGGATCCACACCCTCGCAGGATATCAAACAAATGCTAACAGAGTACCACATACAAGGGACACCAGGGGGAAGAACCGGTGAACTCCACCAACGGGCATCCAACGCCGTTTTCTAGGATTCATGGCAGGGCGCTCCACGCGTGCACGCGCCACCTTGCAGGAGTACTCCTTTGCCTCAGCAGCGCGCGCTGACATGTCATCTCCCGTGCTCTGAAACGTGCAACGTGGAACTCACCGGGAGTTACCTTAAAAAGGAAAATGGTCTCCCAGGGGCCTCCAGCCACATGGTGGATGGGAGGGTAAGAACCAGTCAAATGTTGGTGGATGGGAGGGTAAGAACCAGTCAAATGTTGGTGGATGGGAGGGTCATAAAGGAATATCGTGAGAGAAGTGTTCTTACGCAGCGTTCGTACAAGAGTTGGCGATTCACCCCTGACCATTGCAGAAGCAAGTCCCCGCGGACACATGTTGGGTATGTGCTCCGACTGGGCAGGAGCAACCTGAGTGCTGCATTCTCAAACATTTTTGTGACAGAAACAAAGTCATCATCTCGGCAATTGGAATGCCAATCTGCTTTCAGGAGGGTGCCTCATGAGTCCGAAGGGTTCCGATTCTCCGCACTTCCCTTTCCACACAACCACTTCAGGAGGCAAATTCCGCCTCCACCAGCCTCAGTGATACCCTGTGCACAATTCAATTCAGACAAAATCCAAACAACCATTTTTTTGTATATATATATATACATAGAGGAACCCTTTTTGGAGGACCGCCACCATTTTCAGTCTTCACATTAAAAATCCGGCCGTTCAAGTATGTGTCTGAATATGCCGATGCTCAGGGAATGAAAAATGGAATGACCCCGATTAAACCATCCCCTGGTGGTTTCCTTGAAGGGGACAGCCTGGGCTCATTCAACCACATTCCCTACCTATCGCATCAAATTCATCAGCGCCTCCACGAGGATCACGTGACTCGAAGGCGCCAAATAGGCGACCAGCAGCCCGAGGTGCCCGGACCCCGCGCCGAATTCCACCACCTGACATCATTTGGGTCAGCAAGAATTGGACCGCAGGCTTTAGTCAGTTTGTTTTTGAATTCCGCATTTAGTCAGGCTTTAGTCAGGTTTAGTCATTAGTTTTTCGCATTTACCAGGGCAACCCATTTTGGAACGCCTTTTCTTGGCCAGCCATTTAAGACCAGAGCCAGTCAGTCATTCCACCTGGTTGCACCTGGTTGCTGGGACGGTGTTTCTTTTCCTCGTTTCCCCGAAAGTGATTCGGGTGTGCCGTGCATGGACGGAAAGCCGGCTCGCTCCCGTTGACAACTTCAAGCCGCCCGGCCATAGCGCCAGGATCCAGCATGGCCAGCGCATAAGCAGCCAGGCTCTCTACCTGCAAAATCCCAAGCCCCTCTGCGCCGCTGTCTTCCCTTGTTGGGTGGACAGGCCGCACTGGCCAACCGTTCTGCTTTTTTGAGCTAATTCTTCTCTGAGTGGGAAAATACGTACCGAGCAAAGAAGAAGATTGGTTTGTGCAGTTGGTTGATGTTCCTTAGTGACCTGGAACTGCTCGTGAAGCCTGCCCCTACACCCCCACACTTGCTGGAGTTTCAATATGGTGCAGCTGTGGGGATCTGAAACAGAATGTGAGGAAGAAACAAGGGAGGTATTCTCCTTCATTTATCCGGGATGACCTGAGTGCCATAGTGTCCCTAATTCCTTGGGTAGATCATGGCACCGTTCTCCAAACTGGCAGCAGTGTTGGAGTTTCCTATATTCTCAAGGTTGCCCCCGATGATTGCCCAACAAAACGAGAAGCCTGACAGACTTTCTGCTCCTCATTGCTCCTTTTGAGACCTGTTGATCTGCGAAAAGACTGGGCCAAAGCCCTGACCATAGCACTGCAGCTTTTCGACTTTCTTTGATTTTCGGCCCAGCCAGTTTTTCGGTCAGAGTTCCATTGTTTCCCTTTTAAACACCAACCCTGACTGGAAACTCCCAATCAAAATTGGCAACAAACGAGAGCCACTCAACGAGAACCCTTGGTCCATAGATGCCGGACGATTCTAGAGTGAGCTGTCGCGATCTTTTGCAGCTTTTCTGGAATTTGAGAGAAAGAAACCATTGGGCAAAAGACGCCGGTGCAAAACGAAGCATGTAACAAACTTGCCTCATGTTGACTTTAAATACGTATAGACACACATACAAGTGAACCCTCTTGATGGTTCCAAACGGCCAGCAACATGAACCCAAGCATCCGCAGGGCGCCCAGGTCGTGTTTTTCCTCTGAACATCCTCCCCTTAAAATCAACGGGGTAGGTTCTACCGAAGTCTCAGCGGTTTTACCATAACATCACCACTCACGACCGAGCGGTGCCTGCCGGCGCTTGCGCTGCGCCCTGCCCTGGTCCAACTCGCCCTCGGCCGGGTCCAGGGCCTGAAGGCAAAAGGGACACCAGAGGAAGTGATGGTAGCAGGGATCCGGATGCATGAAACACGCCCGAACATTGCGACTTGTGAATGGTGGTTTCCAACTTATTTTTGGTGTCGAAAAAGCAACATGGTATTTTTTAAGGAGCCCTGGGTAGCCCCATGTTTTGGGGAAGCAAAAGGGAAACCAAAGGAACATCACTGCGTTTGGGGTCCAGCCCAAAAAAGCCGGACCCGTTTTCAAGCAAATTCAAAACGAGAGTCAACAGGCGCCGGGCCTGATTCATGCTAATCAAGGTCTGGGGAAAGGAGGGGCCGGGAGGTGCTCCAGAAGTGGATTGGAGAAGCCCAAGCAGGGCAACGTGCTTCACGGTTTCTGCATGGTTTCTGCCAGCCGGGCAATGACTTTTTAGCCGCACGATCAGCGTCACCTACGATTGGACACGTGTGCTTGACCAAAAAACAAACAAACATCTCTTTGGGGATCCGCTTCGATTCAGCCGCGGCGCAACATGATGCCAGCTTTTGCGCTTGCGCACCCTGTCCGTGGAGAAGTTGAGGAGGGTTCTGACACCAGTTTCCATCGGCCCGTGCCACAGTAGTTCTGGACTAAGCCTTCAACAAGCAAAAATGCATGAGTTCCAATCAGGTTCCGGGGCAGGAGCATGCTATCGTTTCCCCCAATCTTCACGATTGGTATTTGCCAGGTTGGGACTTCTTGCGATCGCATGTAGAATCAAAGGGCACATTGAAGGGACCTCAACAGGCATCCGGATGCATTATACACCTGAACATTGCAACTTGTCAATGGTGGTTTCCAACTTGTTTTTGGTGTTGAAAAAGCAACATGTTTCAAATGGTGGCAAAACGAATCTTTTCAGCCCTGTTGACTCAAAAAGGGAGAAGCTTCCTTTGGATGGCGCCCTGCCGCTCCATGTCGCGGTTGGAGCCTTGGGAAGCTCTTCCCAGCAAATGGCGAGTGCAGGCCGGGGGGCCCGCGGAACCGCTTCCACCAGCTGGCTCACCTGGCATACTCTTGGATGGTTGCGAAATCCGTTTCGCGGCACTGGTCAGAAACCCTGGTTTCTGAATGATTCCCTTGTAAATACCAACAAAACATGGCTTCCCATGTTTTCAAGGTGGTGCGAGCAGAGTCTTGTCTACCCACAGTAGCTTGGCCACAAGAGCCCCTGCAACAAGTCAACTGTGTTCCCAACAGCTGGAAGCTTTGGGGTCTTTGCGTGAGGGTGAGGATGAGGAAAGAGGCAACACTGATCTTGTTGCTGTCTTCCAAGACACCTGACACATGTTTTTGCGGCTCCTGTCAAAGACCAAAGCCCATGCTTTTGGAAAGTTGCTTTTTCCGTGCCAAGATGGGCCATCGGCAATGCATGACTACTTTCTCGCTCGGAATAACTCCCTGGGTATCAGAGCATCACTGGCCTGACCAAACTTGCCATGCCGTCTTCTGAGCCCCCCCCCAACGTTCACCAAATGGCTGGCACCCCATTTACTATGCTCAACTCCCATAAGATATACCAAGGGCACCTAGCCCCTTAGCTGACTCCCAGGTCCCAGCCCGCCCACTAGCGCGCCGATTTCCGCGCCTCCGCCCAGTTCCTGTCGAGCGCCGCCTGGCGCTGCTCGGCCTTTCGACGGAAGCCATAGCGCCCGGGGATGGACGCGTCCATCGGGACCAGACGCCCCGCGGCTCACGGCAGGCGACTTGGAGCCAGAGTCGGAGTCGGATACGCGCCCGACTTGGGGCTTGATCTCCATCGACTCAGCCGAATGGGGAATGTAACTAAGAGCTTGGAGCCGATGCAAGCTTCACGTGCTGGCCTACCATTGGATGAACTCTAGAAACACAAAAACTCAGCTTCCAGACTGTTGCTGGGAAAGAGTGGCTAAGAGATCCAACTTTGGCGCCAGTATCTTCAAATTAGATGGTGCCAGTTGACATGGTCTAGCTTGGTCTGTTGCTTTTGGCTTGATTGCAGATCCTTTTAGCCATTCCTGCGTCCAGCAAGTTCAACAAACCATGGCTCAAATTGTGTTGCGTCAAGCTTGTAGCATATCCAAACTGGTGTGCCAAGCATTAGCCGGACAGAAAAGTCTACGCAACACACCTAGGTATGCTTGCACACACACACACACACATACGTGCGTACATCTATATACATATAGCATACATATGTCCACACAGTTACTTGTGAATGTAAATGTACATGCATACGTATATACAAAGATATGTATCTCTACACATGCATGTGTGCTGAGTGCCGTGTTCATTTCAGTAGAACCACATAGCTCTTGTCCCCAAGCGGTGCTCTCAACATGTTTTTGTCGGTTGAGCTTCAAATGCGGCGGCGCGGAGCAACGTGCAGCAAGGTATCAATATATACGAGGCACAGTCAAACGTTGTTGTGGTTTCTACTGACATGGACACCTGGTAACGCTAATTTTCTGACAAAGCGGCGAGTGCACTGTATGCAATCTGAATCTGCTTGTTTTCTCTGCCCCTACGCCGATCTTTCCAAATGGCATAGAGTCGGGGAAAAAAACAAAAAACAAAAACAACAATAAGAAAACCGGACAGCAAGTAAAATACACACAAACCAAGCACAAGCAGGAAGCTGCGCTCGTTTGTCTCGTTTCCATGAGCGAACTCTTAACAAACTCTAAGTTCTTCGAGGAACTCCTGGGGTGCTGGGGCTTCACCTTGAGAATTTCGTGGGACGCACCAAACTTCTGTCAGCTGGATGTTCTGCCAGCGCGTACGTGTGCTAAGCCGCTAAGACCACTTACACATGAAAAGTTGAGCCCCACAAATCCTGAAAGGATGGGCAAGCGATTGGAGTTCGGCTGTCTCAGACATGCACATATGCTTTTTACGTGTGTATATATACATATATATGTATGTATGTTATATGTATGTATACGTTAAAAGCAAAAAAACGATTCCATGGATTGCTTCACCCGGTAAATCCATCATGTATCAACTCACCCTGCCCCAGGTGATCTGTGGTTCAAGAAGCCAGGGACATCTAAGGTGCACGTGGCCTGCACCCACTGCCCGCGGTAGGTGGTGAGACCGTGCTTGTGCACGTAGAGACCTGCAAGGAACCGCGCTTGGCTCTGGGCGCTGAGGAACCACCCCAACTGGCCACTGGCGAATAGAGGGCCCCTTGTTGCCTATGTCCAGTAGAGAGGTTAGAGTTTCTGGTACCAACTTTTCTCTGTAGTCTATGTTAGGGGAACCATCCCCCCAAAAAAGGGTAAAAGGGCAGTACTGGCGGACCTAGTTGCAAGCTTCACTGGCGCATAGAGGGTCTGACACACCCAACGCCCTTCTACTATCTTCCAATTGGGGGAAGTAGACATGGCTTGTTTGAAACCAGGAACCCAATCTACCTGGGCTCCAGACCGTTTGACACACATCTGACTCATTTGTTGCACGGCTTTGCTCCGAATCCAATATCTATGCCACAGTTCCAATCAGGATGTTCAACCAACTGAGTGGAAAAGGAGGTTCCACGCTGGAGTGGGTCAACAGGGCACGGCTGACTGATGGCCAAGAATCATAAACTATGTACTCGGCAGGTTAACTATCCAAGAAAGGCTTTAGCTCAGAATGTTCCGCCGCAGGCTCAGCATTCCAGCCAACATGTTTTTGTTTTTTTGTATTAAGAAGCTGTGAACAGCATTGCAACAGCACTTTCAGGAGGGATCCACGTCACTTTCAGCGCACACCCTCTGACATGCTGGGGTAAACGGTCGAGCGACAAAAGGGTAGTAGGTTCCGATAGACTTCGGCAAAAGAAAACTGAGGCCTGTCCTTGACAGTTTTGCTGACAGAGAAGGGAGGATAAATCTAAGTTGCACTTTGGGCTGAACATGCTTGGATTTTCTGGAAAGCGACCCCCATCTGAAACTTGAGCATCGGCCGAAGTGACTCCCAACCTGAAAACAACCCAAGCACGACAAGGGAGACCACTACCACGTGGCATGACCAAGGAATTATTTGTGACCCATCCAACCTAGCTGGACTGTCCTCGGATCCCCCTGCTGAAAGTTTAACTTTCAGTGGGTTTTGCGGAAACTACCACTGAACCCTAAAAGCCTAAAAACCTACATTAACAAGGGGACAGCCGAGAATCGCCAACCTGACTGGTGGATTGTGATGAGCTCAGGGCGGAAATGTTCCAATCTGAAGTCCGTCCGTATTCCTGGCCTAGGCCTTCAGCCGCGCTCTTCCTGCGATGCGCATCGCTGGCTGGAAATTCGAGCCCCCGGACGAGTCGACAGGATCTTCGAACCGCTATGGGCGGGGGCCCCCCAATTGTAAGGATGACTAAACTAAGAATAGCACCGTGGCCTCAAGAGGAAACAAACACATGGCCATGGGTCATAACCTATGCCTCCATTTTGGGGCGGATGAACACCCATGTACCACCTATTGTGACGTTCACCAGGGGCACAGGGTTTTGACCCACAGCCACATGTGAAACCTGCAGTCGGACTCTCAAATATTGGCGGTGCACCTATCCTGGAAACTGGACGCTTGTCGCAAGCGACATCAGTCCTCCACTGGCCGATGAACACATCGCCGTCTGCATGCACGAACTGCCCGTGGCCCTAGCAAGGCACCGCTCATTTGAGCCCCGGCAAAGATTGCCGAGTTCCGCCTGACTTGTCTGTCTGGAAGATGTGGGGCTGGCCTCTCCAATCCAACAATGGACTAGCAAGACTATGGTCAGTACGTCATGTCTGTGTGTGTGTGTCTGTGTGTGTGTGTGTCTGCGTAATTTGCGAGATGTGCGAAATGTTTTAGAAACTCTTCAATGGTCCGGTTCCCTCTTGGTATCTTGCCGCACCTCGCCAAACAATGGGCGGCGCTGTGAAAGACTGCTACAGTATCTCGTGGTTCGAGCGCTGTATTCAAACAACAGCACTTGCCGTATTAATGTGGCCATGGGTCAAAACCCTGTACCCCCAGTGAACATCCCAATCCCCACAAAGCATGAACTAAATTGGGTGGTGCACCTATCCCAAAATGGTACCGTTGGTTTTGACCCACAGCCATGTGCCAAACAATGGACCCCTGCGAGTGGTTCGTCACTGTTGGCCCTTTCTTTCAATAAACAAACAGGATCCCCTATTCTGGCACGCCGTCCGCAGCTGTGCCTCGGCGTAGTTGTTACGCCACTCGCCGGTGAAAGCGGCACCGTCCGGCCATTCTTGCCGGCCTGGCAAGAATGCGACTCGCAACTCCAGGCATGTCATTCTGGCTTTACCTTAACGACAAGTTGCGAGCCACACATCCCAAAAAGTGTTGAATCAAGTGATGAACTGGATAGTTCTTTGGTTTCACTATGAGAGACGTCATACTGACGGCGCTCAAACACATTAAGTAACAATACGTGGGGTTCCGACATGAAAGCAAACATCCATCTGCGCGCCTGGGACAATGCCTTGTTAACCCGTTTCACGTACCAGCGGCTTCTGACCAGCGGCTTTGCACGGGAAAAAATGTCGCATGTGCCAAGGAAATCCGCTTACCCACTAAGCATGTTCACCTATGTTCACTTTGAACCGGGTTGGGAGGGCAAGCAGGTGATCATTTCTTGCAACTGGAATGGATATCTGTGCAAAGTCAGTCATAGAGACTCTTTTCAACGGTTGTCATGTTGGTCCCCGTTAAATACTGCAGGTTGCATTGCCCTTGACTCGCGAGCTGCGGTTCAGCCGAGGTCTCGCGTCCGCTCGCGTCTGGGTCGCCGGACCGATGCCATGCCGCTGGTTGCCCTTCCATTGGCCCTTGTAAGTGGCACCTGCCGAAGCGAAGGATTCAAAGGCTAGGGGCCTTGGCACTTGGCCCCTGCAAAAGGAAGCAACAGGTTTGCACAGCCATTAAACAAAAAAAACAACAACATGTGGTACATCTTAAGAAACAACTGATTAGCCCCATCCTGGCCGAAGGCCAGGTTGCGCATGGCCCTGGGAGGCATTCATGCGCCACGTGAGGCTCATTTTTCTTCGGCACGGAAACTCACCTAACATTGGCACCGTAAAGTGATGTTTGAAACGGCTTAAAGAAGGGAACGTGGCCATGAGCAACCTGCAAGCACCCGGATTCGGCTTGGATCTTGCCTGCCCTTCACTGCCCTACTATTCTTTGCGCCTTAGGCTTCAGAGTTTAAAAAGAAAATCAGTGGGTGTGTCCGCCCTAAACGCAAATGATTTCTCCACAAAAGGTAAAGCTTGTCTTGGCACAGGGAGCTGAATGCCTTGTCCAAACGAAAAGGCCTCAACCCCCCCCCCCTCCCGGTCCCCGTGAGGGTTGCTGTATTGATGTTCGACATTGTTTTAACATACTTTCTTTGGATTGGAAGCTTTCGCCCTGGGACTTTGTTGTTCGGGCTGCGAATGTGGGCAGGCTCTTCCAAGCAGGAAGTTCAATCTTGACTGCAGCATGGCAACAGAAGTGAGAGGGGGCCATGCTTGCGGCAGTGTTTGTTGTTGCTCCATCGTTAGGAGTGATAAAGAACTCAACAAGTGTTGGTGACTTCATGGTCGCTCATTTGAGGCCAACTCATATGGGCCGAGCACATTTCATCGGAGTTTGCTCAGGTCAAAACATCCTCATTCAGGCGTTCGTAGTCCTACTTCCTTTTCATGGCGCAGCTCAAAGCCCAAGGAAGCGCAACCACCTGTGTTCAATCGCTTCGAACTCAATTGACTTCAACCCACGGCCCAAGAAGCTGCCAGGCGCGCGAATCGCGGACACGCGGAGCGTGGCGACTTTTTTTTCTTAGTGCGTCCGCAGCTCAGACCTCAGCGCCGCCGCCGCTCCCGGTCCTTGCCTCGAGTGGATTGGGCGACTTGGGCGCTGCACACGTGTGACCTGTGACACGTATCCCCAACCATCCACTTGGAGGAGTCTCCATTTAAGCACTGCTCTCCCTCTTGAAAACTGGCAGAAGGAGTCCAATCGCACATGGAAATCATGAACGGCTTCCCCCCTCTGGTTGTCCATAATTTTCCAATTTACCAAGGGAAACCCTGGGGAAACAAGGGAAACCCTGCAAAAACCAGCGGGGTGTGGATCAGGGCGGCGCCTTTCGATGGGCTGCGGCGCCGGCTGCGCCGGCTGCCGTCCCGGCCCTCCCGGCCGTCCCGGCTGCGGCGGTGCTCGCGGCGTTCCCGGTCCCGGCTCCGGTCGCGGCGCTCCCGGCCACGGCGCCCTGGCGACGAGAGTGGCGCAGGTCGCCCAGGTCCTTCAAAAACTCCCAAACATGGCGGCCTGCCTTGGATTGGGGGTGTTGACCCCCTCGCCCACAAAGTGTGTGCTCTTTTTCCTAAAAGCATCTCTGGTGCTTGGGTTCTGCTTTAGGTTTTCTCTTAAGGTGCCTGGGAGCGATACAAGCTGTGACGACGGAGATAAGAAGGGATTTCCATTTCGTTGTGCTGCAGACCGGGCGTGCGATGCCGGCTGGGGGTGCAGACCGGGCGTACGAGGCTGGCTGGGGGGACGGTGGTGTGGGCTGGGTGCGCTAGGCTGGCTGGAAAATGCCCGTGAGCGAGACTGGCGGGGCCCCAGACTGTGTGGTGCAGACTGGGCGCGCTAAGGCTGGCTGGAAAACGCCCGCGAGCGAGACTGGCGGGGCCCAGACTGTGTGGTGCAGACTGGGCGCGCGAGGCTGGCTGGAAACTCGCTTGCGGGCACGGTGGACGCTCGTGACATGCGGAAAGCGCCTGCGAGCGAGACTGGCGCGGTGGACGCTCGTGACATGCGGAAACCGCCCGCGAGTGAGACTGGCGCGGTGGACGCTCGTGACATGCGGAAACCGCCCGCGAGCGAGACTGGCGCGGTGGACGCTCGTGACATTCGGAAACCGCCCGCGAGCGAGACTGGCGCGCTCGCGCGGAAACCGCTGGCGCGGTGGACGCTCGTGACATGCGGAAACCGCCCGCGAGCGAGACTGGCGCGGTGGACGCTCGTGACATTCGGAAACCGCCCGCGAGCGAGACTGGCGCGGTGGACGCTCGTGACATGCGGAAACCGCCCGCGAGCGAGACTGGCGCGGCGGACGCTCGTGACATGCGGAAACCGCCGGAAACCGCCCGCGAGCGAGACTGGCGCGGTGGACGCTCGTGACATGCGGAAACCGCCCGCGAGCGAGACTGGCGCGGTGGACGCTCGTGACAGGCGGAAACCGCCCGCGAGCGAGACTGGCGCGGTGGACGCTCGTGACATGCGGAAACCGCCCGCGAGCGAGACTGGCGCGGCGGACGCTCGTGACATGCGGAAACCGCCCGCGAGCGAGACTGGCGCGGTGGACGCTCGTGACATGCAAAAACCGCCCGCGAGCGAGACTGGCGCGGAGGACGCTCGTGACATGCGGAAACCGCCCGCGAGCGAGACTGGCGCGGTGGACGCTCGTGACATGCGGAAACCGCCCGCAAGCGAGACTGGCGCGGCGAACGCTCGTGACATGCGGAAACCGCCCGCGAGCGAGTCTGTCGCGGTGGACGCTCGTGACATGCGGAAACCGCCCGCGAGCGAGACTGGCGCGGTGGACGCTCGTGACATGCGGAAACCGCCCGCGAGCGAGACGCTCGTGAAGACGACAAAACCGCCCGTGAGCGAGACTGGCGCGGTGGACGCTCGTGACATGCGGAAACCGCCCGCGAGCGAGACTGGCGCGGTGGACGCTCGTGACATGCGGAAACCGCCCGCGAGCGAGACTGGCGCGGTGGACGCTCGTGACATGCGGAAACCGCCCGCGAGCGAGACTGGCGCGGTGGACGCTCGTGACATGCGGAAACCGCCCGCGAGCGAGACTGGCGCGGTGGACGCTCGTGACATGCGGAAACCGCCCGCGAGCGAGACTGGCGCGGTGGACGCTCGTGACATGCGGAAACCGCCCGCGAGCGAGACTGGCGCGGGGGACGCTTGTGACATGCGGAAACCGCCCGCGAGCGAGACTGGCGCGGGGGACGCTCGTGACATGCCGGCGAGCGAGACTGGCGCGGTGGACGCGTGACATGCCGGCGAGCGAGGCTGGCGCGGTGGACGCTCATGACATGCGGCAACCGCCACGTGCGCGGCTCCATGTGAACAGCCCGGCATTCCAGGTACGCCATAATTGTTTTTTTTGCCGCACACCTGACCCGAACAAACGGCGCCAATGTGTTTCTAGGACGAACCCTCTCTTCAGAAGCTGTAGCCTCTTGGGGTTCGCCCTACTTATTTGGAAGCAGCCTGGAAGCACGTTGACATGAATATGCTGAGCACACTCAAACAAACACCCAACTTGCCATCCACACGCATCCAATTGACAACGTGCGCGGCCCTTTCCACAAAGTCACCAGTTGCAATTGGTTGCAATTGGTCGTGACGGGTATCCCGACCCCCCCCCGTTCATCAGCCAGCACAATCGTGAGCGGTAGCTCTCTTCCCCAGCTCCCGGACTTTAGCCACTTTTAGGGAACACGGTGCTGGTGCACAACAAGTGTTTTGACTTTCTTGATCGATCCACTCTGGAAGCATTCGGGATGCCTCAGCTCTTTGGTGTACCAGGCAGACCAAATGGATGGCGCGCTGCGAAAATGGCTCACAGGAAGCGGTCACTGGTTCTTCTTTGCTTGCCTCCAAGATGTTGGAGTTTCAGTCTGGGCCAAAAACACGTCTGGGCCACAAACACGAGCTCAGATGGGTGTAGAGCGAGCTTATGCCTTGCTTCCAATTTGGGAGTGGTAGTTTGTGCGGATCCATTTTCGGATTTCTGCGATTGGTTCTTCATGATGAATCAGATGACTTCGTGCCTTCCATGTAGTGCGGGCCTGTCATGTTTCACCCGTGCCTTTGCCTTTTTCTCTGTGCTTGGTCTGAGCACAGGCTGCTGGCTGCCAATCCGGCTTGAGTCGCGGTTGCTCCCCTTCTTCATCTGTTGTGGGGTTGATTTACCCAACTGTGAACAACTTACATCTTGGTTTGCCTTCGGACCCTTGAGCCGGAAAACAACGGGATCCACATGCCATGGGGAGTGAGGCTGGTTTGCTTTTGGGTTCCCGGGCTCCTCTTGTTTGTAAAAACAAACACACTTGTTGTTCTAGTCTATGCAATCACTGTTCGCTTCGGAATTGCCAAAAGACTCTTCGGCACAAAGCGACTGGTGAGGCATTTCATGCTCGGAACCGCCCATGTCCCGGACCTCTCGGAGAAAAAGCGCCGTAGCTTCTTCGCTCTTAAAGAGAACCCTTTGCGGCTGATGCTAAGCTAACTGGAGGCCTGGAAGGGGAACAAAAATTTAAATTTTAGCAGTTATCTGGGGATTTCTCACCAAATCACAATAATCAGACATGTAAAATGTTTTCCAACAACAACCATGGAAGCTCCGATACGAGTTGAGCTTTTTCTGAAGGCAAGCAGGAGCGCTGCCCCTTGTGCCCCCCCCCCGCTCCCCGGTCGGTCAGCTCGGCTTGTGACGCTGCAATGTGCTGAAACGTCTTCAGCTTGCTTGCCCAATGGCCATTGTTGGTTGGCAGAGTGTGCGCGGGGAGACAACAACAAGCAAAAACATGCGCACAGGAAAACGCTGACAGTGTTACCATCCCCTGTGACTCCCACTTGCTTAGTGCTGGATCCTCGATTTTTGGAAACGCACAATATTCCTGCGGAGCCTGGAAGCAAAAACCGCAGGCCCTGATCCAATTGGCCCAAAAACGCCGACGTTCATGCAGCCACGTATGGGTATGGCTCAACTTTTGAAGAGCTAGGGTTACGCAGGTTTTAGTTGTTGGTTCAACTTGCAAGGCACCACGTTGGTGCCATAGCCGTATGTACTATTGTTTTATGTGGCTGCGTTGGCAACCTCGACATCAAACTGCCATTTCATGTTTGAGCCTTCAGCCATCCTCCCTCCTTTTGAGCATCCTGAGAGTTTCAACTCCTGCTATACGCCAAGACGCGTTACCCACCCGCTGCCTTGGAATATGGGCAATGGCATGACATGGCATGACTTCTCATACTGGTCGTTGGTTTTGGAACTGCCGCTGTTAAGCGTGGGTTGATTGTTCCATTCAGCATGACGCGGCAATGACTTGCCATGGGCTGGCACCAAGGATCAGTCCGTCCCTGAGTATTCTCCACAGCGCCGGTTACAGTCTTGATGGGATTCATGTGCAGTTGAAGGTAGGGAACAATCCAGTTTTGGCGGGAGCCAGTACCTCCACACCAGAAATGGCTGTGGGTCAAAAATGGGTACCCAAAATAGAACCCTGGTAAAATGGAACCAAGGACTCAAATCTGCGGCCCCCTGGTGGTTTAATTTTGACCCACGCCCAAATTAATACTTAATTAAACATTTGATTTCACAACCGAAACTGCATTGACGGCTTGATACTGATCTCGAAGATTAGCGACGCAAACAATCAACACGAAGTGGTTTTCAACCTGTGCACATGTCTTCAATTCATGAGGCAACACCTTGTTTGCGTTCCCCGGTTCGCCTTCGACAAAGTGCCCACCTGCCTCGGCTCCGGTCGCGATCCTCCTTGTCATCCTGCGGCGTCAAGCTTAACGCGTTGCCTTTAGCATGCTCAGACTTTGGTTGTCCTAAATTCACTTCCCTTGTGGGATTGGCCAGAATCAAGCAGAAAAATACGTTTGTCTTTTCCGCCAAATGGTTCCCGACAAGTCACAAGTCTAAAGCGTGTGAAGCGAGTAAAATTGGGTCCATCAAAATGGCATTCTTCTGTGGCTTCCACTAACAGTTCAGTTTGAGGCACCACACCACGTTTTGCGCGGGAAATTCGCAGGAAACACTTGTCTTTTATTTTTTTAATCATGAGCCTGGCATCCCAGCTTGTTCTCCATCCATCATGATGCGGTGTGGTTTTCTTGCATTGTCCCTGATCGCCATTTGCTTTGTGATTCCAGTTGGCTTGAACATCCAAACGGCGAAGTACTTGTGCACCAAAAGCAAAATTGGCCATCGTCAACAACTTATCCGCAAAACATCTCACTAAAGGGCCTATGACTAGAACCAAGACGCATCACAGCGAGTCGTTTCATGATCCTGCTGTGAAGATGCAAAGAGTGAGTCATGTCGTCAGCCAAAGTGCCATTGAGATCATGATGTGGGTACGGGTCCACCAAGGGACCGCAGGTTTTAGTTCTTGTTTCCGGTTACTAGGGTTCCATTTGGGGTACCAATTTTTGACCCACACCATCCCACACCCATGTTTGGTTTTTTGTCCCCCACAGCAGCCAGAATTGCAGAACATCAACATCCTTAACCTGACGCAAGCGGGTCGCGGGAGAACACGACACGCTTGCAGTTGAAAGCAACAGAATTCATGTCAAATCAAACTAAGGAATGCGAAACAAACGCTTTCGTTTGTTTTCCCTTTAAACCAGGGCGCAAAGGATATCCTGAACGAACATGGTCGTGGGTCCAAAATCGGTACTCGAAATGGAACCCTGGTAAATGGAACCAAGGACTAAACCCTGCGGTCCCCTGATGGCTTAATTTCGATCCATACCCACATCTTACACACAGACACACAGAGACACACCCCGCCCAGTGAACGGCCAGGCCTTTGCATCAACCTTTGCATCCTTCTCTTTGTCCTGCAGTCAGTACCCGAGCTGTGAAAACAGCGGAACGCACCCACGCACACGCGCACATGTATATATATATATATATGTTTTATATATTCATACATATATATATATATTCATTTATTTATATGTATAATATTTATATATATATATATGTATATATATATATATATTTGTAGACCAAGCCTTCAATGAGGGTGCCCCTGAACAACAAGCAGGGGTGCGTCGAAACTGGCGGTTGGGTCAACTTGCAACAGCGCATCTTGTTTGTTGCCTGTGTTTGAAGGCAGCCCCATTCAAATTCGAATAAGGGGGCACATCCAGACTCTGCTGGGCCAGGGCAAGGGAGATTCATCTTCAGACCTGTCCTTATCCCCCCTAAGGCCCTAAAAGGTAGGGTTCCCACCGATTCCATTTTCCAAGTCTTCCCCTTTTATCTAAGTTGAACTAATGATATACAAATAGAGAAGCCCCTTGAAACTGTTGAACTTTTCATGGCCTTTCAGCCGGTCACCGCCCTCCTCTCAGTTCAGTGACCCTGGAAAAACAAGGGAACCAACTCTATGGGGAAGACCAGTTTTAGTGGGGCAGCCACAAAAAACGAAAGGGGAAAATGAATCGGTGCCACTGAAGAACTGAGCCACCCTCCAATAAGGGGCTTGGGGGCTGTCCTTGTCCTTGTCCTTGTCCTTGTCCTTCCCAGTCGCTTTCTGCTCGGCCATCTCCTCCCTAATCCGATCGGCGTCTTCCCGGCGAGTGCCGCACTTCATGCACTCCTCGACTGCGGAGCTTGAAACAGGTCTTTAAACGGTGTTTGACGCAAAAATGCCAACCAACAGGCAACTATAACTAGGTGCTCCAGCGGAGAGGTTAGAATAAGGGTACCTTTTTTTCTGTAGTCTACTACTTAGCAGGGGAAGCCTCCCAACATCTCCCAACCAAAAAGGGGCGAGAAAGGGCACCTAGCTGGGGGACCTAGACACCTCTGGTTGGCCAAAAACTGCCCAGCTTCTCCCTGGCAAATTGGAGAGCCACCGGAGTGAAGAAAGAAACCAAGACGTGCCGGACTGAAATAATTCGAGCCCCCAAATCCTGCAGGTATCCCCCAATTTTTTGCCATACACACACCTCCTCTCGTGGGACTAGATCCCCCAAACAAAAGCCTGGGGTGGAATCAGCTGGTCGCCGGAGGTTGCTTCGGACCGAGCGGCGCCCTTCGTCGCGAAGACCATGAACTTGCACTTCGGGCCTCGCGCCGCCGAAAAATCGGCGGGGAGACGCGAGACGCCGCCGCGAAGGCGGCGGCGTCAAGGGACGCGTGGCTGGGGAGGTTTGGCTGGCCTCCCTCTGGGCAAACGGCGGTGCACTGGACAAACAGCGGAAGTTCATGAATTCATGAACCAGAACTGAGGCACTCCCAAGTAAGGCGCCTTCATCCTGGGCAAGCTCGCTTGACTCATATTAGGTGAGCTGGATATACGTACTGCAAACTGAATCGTGCTTCGAGCAGCTGTGACACTCAAGGCCCTCCTCCACGCAACCATATTCTATCACCACTCAGAATAAACATTGAAATATTGCTCAAGCTAAGACAATATGAAGGCAAACGAAATGAATGAATCAAGCCTTAGATATGCTTAGACACCATCACTATATTTCGGTCAAACTTAATTTAGGGTACATGGTATTATACATGTCACGTGTATTAAAGGAGGCCAGTTGGCACTGCTGGTTCCGCAGTCATGCCGAGCAGCAATCCCAGTCCCCATCTCTTCGTGCCTCGGCTGCGCGCTTCCTCTAACTACAATCAAGAAACAGAACATGGAAGAGTTTTGTGAAGATTGTTAAAATATCTGCTGAGTCAGAAGGCATTTGCCTCCTCTCCGTCCATCATCCAACAGGCCCAACACCTTGAACAAGCACGGCACAGGCACACGAAAGATCACTATTTCAACACCCCGCAAGCGCTTCATTCTTTAAGCTGTGGTGCGATACGTATGAGTCGACATACACAATACCATGAATGATGTCCCAAAGCTGACATCTATGACCTGGAAGACCACATTTCGCATGTCACACATCCAGCAGCCAGTTCAACCACAGAAAAATCAGTATAGGAGCAAGAACACCATGGTCAGCTGAATCACATGTACGGTCTTTGCCAACAAAAAGGCAAATCCCAGGTCAACCACCAAAAAGAGCGTGTTTGAATCACTGCCGTTCAAGTATCTTCATGTACCCTCCTTTTAAAAAGCCAGAAACATGGTCCTGTTGTTCCAGCCGCCACAATTGGTGCAAGCCACAAGGCGACCCGAGATGTGCCCAGTCAACTAGGTCCTATAGAGAGGTTGGAACAAGGGTAACAACATCAAACCAATTATAAAATATCCTCAAATCAAGAACAATCACCCCCCGAAACAACGCATTTTGACAGGGTAACCTCGCGACATATTTAACCGCCCTTTCAGATTCCCTCGAGAGAAAGACAACATACACACAAAACTTCGTGCTTGAAACCCAATCTAGTCCTTTCTGCTGTGGCAAAAGGTCCAGCTTCGAGGAAAGGGTCTCAGTTTCCCTGATGTTTGCAGAGCTCGCGCAAAGCAACATTGATACGGTCACAAACTTTGTAGATCAGTATTTCAAGCCTCGTGTTACACCTTGCCCTCTGCTACCCAGAGCCGTCCCTACAGCTGTTACTCAAAGAAATGCGGACACTTGCCTACGTAGTGGTGGTGTGGGACGCAAGTCCACGATCGGACTTTGGATCAATTGCTTTGCTCCTGGTTCAAATCCTGGTATCAATTTGTGCCGCCTTAAAAAAAAGGGCTCCAAACAGGGCTGGCATTGTGTCGAGCTATCACTGGATTTTGAGGGCACAGGCTTGCACCTTGTTAACCAATCCTGTGAACGCATCGAAAAACCTCTGTGGTACAGCGCACTTTGTTCCGGCTGGTTTTAAGAGGCAGACCCATGCAAAAAACGGACAACTTGCCGCCGCAGGACTGGGTAGTAAGCCTGTGATGCAATTGGATCGAACAGCCCCGTCTCATGCCATCCCTAGAAAGATAATATGAAGAGAACAGCACGGCAATGAACAAAATCCCGCTATAACCCCCTGCAGCTAGTTGTTGGTCTACTTGCAAACGCAGCTAGTACGTTGGGAATCTGCATCACAAGTTACCTTCTCACAATGCAGGAAAATCCCCCACGCACCATCAAGGCCTTAAGCTCAAACAGTGGTTCTTGGAGTTGTGAACATCTCACTGACGCGCAATTGAACAGTGACACCACGAAACACGAAGTTGCTCTAGCTGCTTGTTGACCGAAGATTTAAAGGAAAAAGCAACAAAATCCTCGTCTTACCGTTCATTTTTTTTTGGGGGGGGTGCAACTAACAAATGTAACAGAACAAGCCCTGACCCACGGGGCGAAGGAAGCTCCCCCCTTCGGCTCCGCGGACCTCCGTCCGAGACACGCTCGGCGGGGGGGGCCGGTTCGGGGGCGGGGAGCGGCTGCTGCGGATGTAGCGCTCCACCTGGCAAGTCTGAGGCCAAATGTCCGGTATCTGAACAAACAGAAAAACCAAAATGCATCTAAATGACATGTATCTACCCTGTCTACAGACAACTTCCACTGACATGCATCTACCCCTGTCTGAAAACAAAATCCGTGTGAGCCCGAAGTTGCTGTACCACTCTCTGAAAAGATCCGTCCATGTCTGTTCTTGTTGGGTCTACCTCTCTCGGTCGTCGTCTCTATCCTGGCTGTCTGTCAGCCTCTGACTTGCACCTTCACATTTTCAAGCCCAGAATCACTTGTGCGACTCGCTGGGACTCAACACGTTAGACATTTCCCATGGGAACCGGAGATCAGTGGCTACCCACTTGGCTTCGGTTCCCCTGGTCCTGTCAGCTTTGGTTCCCCCAGGTCCTCAGCTTTATGGTCCCCCAGAAGTGCAGAAACTCCATGCGGTAGGAGACACTCTGTTTGAGCTTCCTGACATCCTTGTTGGACAAACCAATGCAGGTATCATGCTGTGGTCAGTGATGTGACATCATGCATGCTTGTCAGAACCCTTGGCGTAGCGGTCGTCAGAAGATCGTTTTCCGAGCTAGTCTATATGTGTATATATACATATATTGTTGCGCTTCAAACGCAGCATGTTGCCTGTTTCCTTCCTGGAGGGTACGTGGCAAGTGACAAACCCTCTGCTGTGGTGAATCTTGTTGAAGGTGCTTCATCTTCCCTGAACATGTACATAAACTTGCTAGTTTAGGGCAACAGGGGACTTCCATCATGTTGCCGGGTCAACCACTAGGGGTTGCCTCCGAGCCTCAAAATGACCAAACCAAAAGAAAAAAACAACAAAATCCTATCTTGTTTCCTTTCTTTTCCAGGGAATCTAATTTCTACCATTCAAACACGGCATTTTTTGGAGCTATGTCAATCTGCATACTCCACAGGAGTCACCCTGGTTTCGTTTCACGACGAAACGCCTCGATGGCGCGATCCTTGCCCTGGCACAGGCGAAAATTGGCAAAACTCTCAGTGACACCACATATTGGCGTCTTTTTTCAGGGGAGCCCCCAAAATGGTGGCTTTCCTGTTGGATTCTCTTTAAAACCACAAACAAGGTTGCAAACTTTTCAGGAAACTGAGCAAGTTGCTATAATCCCAGCAAAGGACGTTCATGGGTGAGCTCTTCTTACCCCCAGGTGTGCTCTTTGAAACTCCTCCACAGGAATTGGTTCAGATTGATACGCACCTCGTTGCTGGATGCATGATTCGCATTAGCCCATCAGCCGAGGAAGGCCTTTGCCGAAAGGGAGAGATGGGACTCTACACCCAAAACATGTCATCACAGGATATTCAGGGCAGATCGCTTTAGACAACTTGCGCTGCAGTGCTTGTTCTAAGCTGACGAGCCCCCACGAACGACGCACTTAAGGCGAATAGCCTTCATATTCGAAGTTGCCCAAAGGTCGTGAAGAAAAAAGTCACCTGTTTTGGGAATGGCCCGTCCAAGTGCGACTTCCCAAATCATGGAGCAAACTGCAAGGTTGGAACATGTGGCAGTCAGAAAAAAGCCAAGTTGCACAGCAAAGCGGGTGCTGTCTTCAAAAAGAAGAGGCACAATCAACGCTCAAGTGCAATAGTTGTGAGCTAGTACCGCAGTGTGCTGCGCACGTTGCTTGGCAGTTTTCGCATCTGCCCGCCACTCCTTGCGCTCGTCGTACTCCATGACAAACTTCACCTGCCAGAACGCAGGAAAAACGACTTCAATCATTCGGGCAAACAGCTCATGCACCCAGATTCCTCAACTTGGCGAACTAGTTTCTAGTTTTCCAGTGCGACAGTGACAGGACGTGCCCCCCCCAACCCGAAACTAAAATGAAAACAACCGGCAAAACAGCTCTCTCTCTCTCTCTCTACTAGGTCCTCCAGCAGAGAGATTAGAATAAGGGTAGTCTATTTTAGTGGTGGAACCCTCCCAACCAAAAAAGACGGCGAGAAAGGGCACCTAGCTGGGGGGCCTCTCCCTCTCTCTCTCTCTATGCAAACGACTCTGACTCAGGGCCTCGTCTCCGTCTAAAACGCTGTTCTCGCCGTCCAGCAGGGCACTCTTGTGGCAGAAGAGCTGGCGATGGCGAGGACCCAAGCGCGAGCGAGCTGTTGAGGCGGTTGAATGCAACCTATGCGGCCTCTGCTTGCGATTTAGGGATGCAGCGTTGCGACGCATCGCCTATGTAAGGGGAACATCAACAAGGCCGTGGAAGGAAGTATAGCAAATCAACACATACTTATTTTGTACCTGCTGAGAGAAACCTGCTACTTTGACGGGCCAAGGATGTATTTATTTTACTGGGAAGAGCCACGCGAGCCACATCGACCTTGCAAGGTTACGTCCTTGAAGGGACACTTCCCGGGTGTGAATCTGTTGCGGACATGGGCTTGCCCTGCTGTGTACTTTGCAAGCTGAATGAACTGAAAAGACCATGGAGAGGCATTCTGTCGAAAGCTGAAGTTAATGCCTGGCGCATGTTTCAGCCAACATCTTTACGTACTTGTTTCTTCCGGTCATGCAACACGCCGCTTCCAGAGTCAATGGATGCAGTGACAAAACGGGATGGGCAACGACTAGCAGATTGAAAAGGCCCTGTGCTAGTTGAGCTGGGGGCCTACTCGTTCCTTAACCAAGTGCTGTACTGCCCTGTGAGTCTCAGAAAGATGCCACTGACTAGCGGATTAGTTGCAAGCACAAACGCGGCCTTTTTGGCGAAATCTGGATTTCTCACGGTGAGAGGAGTGTGTGCTAAACCAAAGCCGCCTTCTTCGCTCCAACAAGCCCTTGTCAATCGCACAAACTGACAAATGTCAGGGACCATCTCAGAAAGGCAAACTTTGCATTCCAAGTCCAATCTTCAAACTAAGTATTCTGCAGTCTTCAGCTGACCTGCACCAGCCAGGCGAAACACACTAACTAATCCCTTCTTCCTAATGCTAAACAGTCCCCTCATACTGAAACCGATTTTTCAGAATCCCAAATCCAGGAATACTACTTTTAGAATAGCCAAGACTAAACCAAATCTAAAGTAGGAAATTTCCCGCCCGAGCCCAAATCCAGCCCTATTAGGGGGACCCTGGAGCAGGCTTTCTTTACTACGGCTGTACTACAAAGCTGCGAATTTCGAGCCGGAGCTCCGGGAACAGGGGACCCCTAATACTAAAACCGGTTTTTTCAGGGGGACCCGCTTAGTATTAGGGGGGGCCGTTTAGCATTAGGGGGAAGGGATCACACATGCCCTCAATCTTAGATTCTTGCCTTTGCAGTGTCCAATTCAACTTCTGGGGAGGTTGTCAGGAATAGGGGGACCTTTTCTAGATCCTGCCATGTGCTTTACAGGGGACCATTCTCTTTTTTCACCCGATGTCCGCCAAGGCACATCAGCGCCATCCCCTTCTGCGGGACGGATAAAGCCGAAGCCCTGGCCAAATGACTCGAAGCACACCTCTTCCATTTGCTTAAGACCCCTGGACAAAAAATCCAGTAATGATCCAGTAGTGATAAATTCCATTTAAAACCTTCAAGAATCCCCTTGCTCCCAGCGGGTTTGGGCTTGACCAGCCACTTTGGGGCTAACTCTCAGCCAGATAAGGCTGAGGAAGAGTTTCGAGGAGCCTTTTGGGTGCTGAACTTCCGGTGGCGTGCCACAATGGGTGAACAAAAGCCAGCAAAAACTACTACCAGCAACCTGTATGCTTGAGGTGGTTGAGTTTCGAGACCCGCAAAGCTTCGCTGTTGAAGTTGGCTCCCGATGAGACACAGGAAATGTTTGACGGATGTTACCAGAAGTGGGCTATTTCACAATGTTGGCAGATTTGCGTAGATGATTCAATAAGACTTTGCCACCCATACAAACAGTATGTGCTTCCACTTTCTGGACAAAATATATGTGTCGTTCCGCATCACTCTAACATAAACTAAATCTATTTCAGCACAAGTTAGTTTGCCCCTAGCATCAGAAGCAAAGTTAGGCACACTGTCAGAGCGAAGTTAGGTGAAGTGTAATGATGCACAGGGTCTGAACCATAGTCTTTATTCTCAAACATGTCAGTTATTGTTAAAACATCTGTGTTCAATACATGGTTAGCTTTGCAGTGTGTCCATACTATTTATCTTTGTTCATAGGCTTCATCTGGACAGCTTCATTCCATCGTGTCAGGCCAACCCAGTTGGTGAAGGCTACTGAATTATTGACAACCGGACACATCGCTCTACGTGTCTGCAGCAGCCTTCTCCTCATTCCACCGAAGCATCACACCGATCGGCATGGCTCCTGGGCAACAAAAGCTTTAAACACTGCATGCAACAACCCGAATCATGATTCCACTGGCTGGCAAGCCTTGTGTGATATTGCTGTGGCAAGTCGAATCATGTTTGGACCCGTCAACATATTGGCCTTGAGACTTCCAAATCAAACTGGCAAACATGGACGGCCTTGGCAAGCCTCTTTCCAATCTTTTCGTGAATCAACTAACCACATGACCACATGTCTGAAAATAGAGCCACCACCCAAGAGGTCGACTTGCTCCTGTCATGCGCATCAGTTTCGGAAAAGCTGTTGCTACAAGTTCTTTTTTTACTCCTGCTGGGTTGATCAACATTTCGGTGGAGGGGAGGACCATGTTCCCCTAATTAGGCACATTCAGGGGAAACCTGCGTCGAACCAAGCAGCCCCCGTCCTCCAAGTGCGACCCCCGCGTGCCGTCCGTGGCGCAGGAGCCGGAGCTATGCTTACGCCCGCGAACGGGCGGGAACAGGGTGAATGAAAGAACAACCGCCCATGTGCGTGGTTCTCCGACATGCAAACAAACCCATGGCAGTGAATCTGTTGAAACGCGGGTGGGGCCATTCCCGTAAACCTGCGACAGCCGATGCCTGCGGTTGACGCCTCCGAACTGATGCCGCTGACACCGCAATGGTTTCTACTGAGTTGCATGACTTCTGACAGGAAGCACAACACACACACACACACCCACCCCTCTAAGTCTCGCAGAGTCACAAGAGGCTTTCTGGTCCAATGCATGTATCCACTGACAGCGGTCTCGGCAACACCCGCCCAAGCGTGAAGCGCGTGACAGACCCAGCCTGACTTAAAAGTGAAGAGCGGACCTCGAGCTGCACAAGTTCCAGGCACAAAACTAAATACATATTCCAGGGCACACCGATTCACAACTCTTTGCTTCGCAGGAAAGCACATACTCCAGAAAATCAATTCAAGCTTTGATTCGGATACGCCAAGAGCACTGATTGCAAGTGCCAACCTGACACGGGTTCAGGCACTGGTGGGGTGACAACCAACCTATGTAGTGAGGAGGAAACCTCCGCAGGTCACGACTCGAGGTTCGCGCGCTCGCCCTCGGGCCCCGAGGCGAGGCAGCGCAGCTCCTCCAAGGGAAAACTCACATAAAAAAAAAGCTCCCAAGCATAGGTGGCCTTTTGGAAAAATAGATGGCCCTGGCAAATGGAGCAAAACCCATCTAAACCAGTGCCATCTACTTTTAACCAGGCTCATTTAAAAAGGACACCTATGCTCCCAAGTGTCCACACAGATTTTGTCAAAAAAAGGTTCCTGTAAACTTTTCTGGGTTCCAATGGCTAAAGGAATCCAACAACCGCGCATAATGTTTTAAGTGCCTCTTCAATCACACAGAGTTTGTGTCAAAGCGCAGGCCCCTCTCAACAGCGTCGGGTTCCAATGCTAAAAAGAACAAAAACTGGGGGGCAAAAACACATACACCTTTTCAAGAATTGCGCTTTTGAAGTGCCTTTTCAATCACAACGGGAGTCAATGAGCAAACGTAAGCCCAAAGAGCTTGAATGCGACACAGCAAGCAGGTTCAGCTGGTACAACCTTAGCAAGATAAACCAAAGGTAGCAAATGGTCAATTCCCTTTCGGCAACTGAGCCAAGCCTACAAACCACAAATGTAAAGCATGATGCTATTGTTGAACACATGTTTAAGCACATCTTGCGCCTCTCTATATTATATATAATATACTCAGATGCCCAGTGGCCATGGGAAAAAAGGGCATCCTTTTGTGGTTGGTTGACTTTCAAGGGGAACCCCTACCAAAAAAAGACAAAAAGGCAGCAACCCACTGGGCAATTGGGTATATATAAGAGAGTTGTGTCTGTATAGGTGAAGCCCATCTAAATAGGAAACACTCGGTGGACCCCTTTGGATCGGATTCAACGGGGGGAACCACATGAAGCTTGCCATCTGAAGACATCCCTAGTTTGGCACTGAGTCAACGACATTCGGGCTTCCAAGTGGATTCTTCCCTCCAATCCCAAGGGAGTGGTGGCGAACATCTGACTGGTGGTTCTACACTCCCTATTAAAATAGGTAGTAGAACCCCCCTCAAAGGGCCACTAGGAACCGGTTTTGCGCGCTCAAGTGGCGACAGGTTTTCCGCCAACCCACGCGTTCCTCCAATTCTCTGGCAAAGTAGCTATCTGCCATCACCTGGCGGCTGCCACGAGGGCTGAGAGGGGCTGGAGGAGAAGACCCAGGGAAAGTGAACAAGTGAGCCCAGTGACCCTACTCGAAAAGAACACCTTCTTGGGATTGACGATCTCAAGTGGAGAAGCCAGCAAGCACAAAAGGAAAAAGGGCACCACTCAACAACTGGGTCCTTCGCTGCTTACCTTTTGCAATCCTTGGCCAACAAAGGACTGACTCGAAACGAGCATGATTGTGGGCGTTGGTGGCGTCTTTGGTTTTGAAGCTGAGCTGCTCCACAATGCCGGAAAAATGGTTTCGTTTACCGTTCAAGGTCAAACCACACAAAAAGGGGCTGACAGAGGGGAGCCCTGGACGCTAGATTTCATGTCAGTGGGAGGAGGATAGTTGAATGACCTTCGTGAGCGCCTTGCTCTGCTTTCGAGTGACTCGTGACTTTGTCATTTATGACCTATAAACGTGCACATATGTCCATCTTGCCGTTGCGCGATCTTTCCTCTCATTCAAGTTGCATTGGTGAATTGATTACTAATTTACGGCGATATCTTGGACTAGCTCGCGGAGAGATTCCGAAAGCCTAATCTTTGCGTGTTTGCAGTCAGTGTATCTG